TGGTGGCATGGAGGGGTCCAAGCTTTCCTTCGAGGGACTCTTGGGCCCTCAGCTGCAGCACCTGGTCGAGCCGACTCTAGACCTCGTCCTTTGCCAACTCCTCCGGCGACGCGTGGTCGAGATCTGTTGGGCCCAAGTAGTTCCACATCGGCCGCCTCCTCTCCGCCAATGGGGTGACTCGATGGTGGAAGAAGGTGTGGAACACCCGCACCCCATCGAGGCCGTACTGCACCAACTTCTGGAGCTCCACCTCGATGACCTCCAGCTTGTTCTGGCAACTGGAGGGCCCCCACGACCATCTATCCTACCTCTCCGGCCTCCTTCCGATGAACGATGGGAACGACGACTCCGCTGGGTTCCTGATATAGAACCACTCCCCATGCCACCCCCGATTGGAGCCACAAGGGGAGTACGCGGGGTAGGAGCCCGGCAGCCTCGGCTTCTTCTACAGCACGAAGCCCCCAACCGGCGTGGTCCTGGGCGGCTTCCCCTCTGATAGGGCTCGCCCGGTGAAGATCTACCAGAAGAAGTCCACATGCGGCTCCATCCCGAGGAAGGCCTCACAGACGGTGACGAAGCCAATAATGTGCAGCACCCTAGTCGGATTGAGGTGCTACAGCTCTAGGCCCCACTCATTGAGGAGCCCACGTAGGAACCAGTGCGCAGGATATCCTAGCCCGTGCTCATAGAAGACGAGGAAGGAGACAACCTCGTTGGCCCAAGGTCATAGAAAAGCCTCCCCACAGGAGCCCTCCAGTGTGCCACCTCCATCGACGGGAGCAGCCCCTTCTTGGCGAAGGTAGCCAGCACTGCCTCGTCCACATTGGATGGCCTCCAGCTCGACATCATGTTTTGGACTCACAAATGGATCTGTGAGTTCTCCTCTCCCTCGCTTTACCCTCTTTCCTCCTAGGAACCGTAGCGGCACACGAACGCGCTTGGAGAGAAGGAAGAAGGAGAAGCATCAGTTGGAGAATAGGCGAAGGATTGGGATGAAAACCCTCTCCCTTCCCCTATTTAAGGAGGAGACGCGACAGTTGGAGAAAGGCGAAGGATTGGGGCGAAAAACCCTCTCCCTTCCCCCATTCAATGCGGATGAGATGCGGTGGGACGCATCCTGACTGATGGGACGTGCCCTGTCCAACAAAATGATGCCTGGTTAGACGGGACGTGGCCTGGGCATGGCCCAACACTACCGCACGCTAGGCATAGGAAACAAGGCGCAACCGCACGTAGACGGCCCTCCGCCTCCCCAAGCCAGACTTGGAAGGGGCCAACGATGGGATCACCATCAAGGAGAGACCAACAGGCTTCCTAAGTCAATCGGATGGCTCAGTCGACTGCTAAGAGATAGGTAAGGAGCAGTGGGATGCCCCATGTGGGCCATGCCATCTCCATCACGAATGACGAACACGGATCCCATTCAGACATATCCGATAAGAACTCCTCAAACCCATCACTCGAGTCTCCAAGGTAACTTTACCAAACGTTCTTACTTTACTTTCTGATGCATGATCATTCATTTCATCCATTCTCATACACGCATTCGTACATTCATTCATACAATCATTCATTCATCCCATACATCCAAAGCATAGCATATGCAATTAATGCATCACAATGCTTCGTGTTGCGTCACGAAGCAGTAGTTGCCCCATTCAACATGGGCAATGACCGATCGGGGTTCGAAGGCTGGCCTATGAAGGGCTCAAGGCCACCTTGCGTCAAACAGAGCTAGGGGAGAAAACGCAGATGAGCCCCAGCGGCCCTCGCCCAATATGCTCAGAAGCAGACAGGGTCATCTCAGCCTTCTCGTTCGATCCTAACCTCGAGCCATGCCCATAGAATCTCCATCGAGGAAAGCCAGCGGGCCACCTGAGTCAGTCTCTGGAATGACCCAGGCATCTGCTGGAAGACGGGTTAAGGAGCAGTGGAATGCCATATGAGGGCTATGCCGACCCCGTCATGAACGACGGACCCAGATTCCGCTCGAATGCGCCCGTTAGTGAGCTCACCGAGAGCGTCACTCAAGCCATCGAGGCAAGCGACGTTAGCTCAGCCCCTCCGGTTGCGGAAACCACGGATGGGGTAACGCACGAAACTAGACCTACCCCTACCAAACCCAATAGGGCTCAGGGGCTCAGCTCGCCCGACGCCGACTCAAGAAATCAACCGATCGCGCAGGTCGTGGGCGGGACAAACATGGACGAACACCCTGAACGGCAGAAACACAGAAATCTACGACCCCAGGAAAGAGTACCAAGATGCTCAGCCTCCAACCGACTCACCAGTCGGACGCAGGCTCAGGGGGCTACACCCACCGGGTGCGCTGGCGCGCACCCACCGGCAAGTCGAAAACCCCCCAGACGATTCTACCCAAAATCGCCTGGGGGCTCGAGGGCTACACCCACCGGGTGCGCTCGCGTACACCCGCTGTTAAAACAAAAAAAACCCCAGACGATTCTACTCGAATCGCCTAGGGGCTCGGGGGCTCCTGTCGGGTTCATAAACCCAGGGTCCCTAATGGACCTGCTTCCCAGCAAAAGCTCGACCCATCAAATGACATTGCAAATGACACGCAACTCCTGGGTCGGCCCAGATACCTAACGACTGGCCGGAAGAGCAATCCAGTCTCCGATCGGAAGGCCTGGCCAAAGAGGGAACAACGCTCACTTCTGACTTCGACCCGCCTCTCCGACCGGAAGGCCTGGCCAAGGAAGGAACGACGCTCGCCTCCGACTCTGACCCACGCTCTCCGACCGGAAGACCTAGCCAAGGAGGGGACAACGCTCGCTTCCGACTCTGACCCGCTTCTCCGACCGGGAGTACACCAAACCTCTGCTTACAGCTCTTCTCCGACCGACGCGGTCGGAGCCGACTGGGAAACAACCGAACGGGGACGCCCGCTCGGTAAGGACCCAAAGAATCAGGTGGAGCAAGTAAGACAGGGCGCTCAAGTCAACTACAATACCAAGGATCGAACCCTGCACATCTGTAGGACAGTACTATCAGGTCATGTTAGAAGGGTACTTTATAACCTTCAAGACAAGTCAGAACAACGAACAGTGTTGTGGGCGTCAACATTTGTCCTACAGTATGGTAGGCGTCGACATTTGCCATACCGGAGGAACACAATGGAGCCTACCACATGCATCTGGGCGTCAACAGTATTGTGGGCACCAACAAACCGTCTTGTACCCGATGGTGTGGGCAACAAGACTAGGGCACACACACTCTCACTCTCTCACACACACACTTGTAAGGCCACCCCCTTCGCCTATAAAAGGTGATGCGCTCTCTCCTAAAAAAGAAGGATCGAACAACGAACAACAGACGGATCATTCCAGCTCACTCTCTGCTAGCTTTAGATATTCTAAAGCTACACAGAGCACACGTTCGAATACTTAGCGCACATGGGATCTCCTGTCACTCTTGGCCCCTCGGTCCAGAGTCCAATCGGACCTCTAACACCCCCATCTTACTCTCACTCGTTTGTAACCCCACAGCAAACTTCGAGCACCTGGGCTTAGGAATAAAGTCACCGACCGACTCAAACTGGACGTAGGGCACGTTGCCTGAACCAGTATAAACCCTGTGTCATTGAGTGCTAGGCCACATCCGATCACAGCGTACGGTAAAACGACAAATATTTACTAGTTGGCCACTTTTCGCACCGACATATGACGTATCGTCATATGTGGAAGTGCGGACGAGTATTTGTCCTATACATGGAGGAATCTATGAAGCTAACTATATATTCTCCATCCCCGTACTTTGGCTGAAATTCTCCATTGTGAAGATGACAGGGAATGGTTTGGGAGAGGTCACACGGAGACCCACTTGCACGTGGGAAGGTCCGTGAGCTATGTACAGAGTTAACACACTGAGAGCTGAGCCTTTGCAAGCTCCCACAAGGACTAATGGAAAGCACAAACTTTCCGATACCGCGGTAAAAAAGATCCTCGTGCAGGAGTTTACATTCTCTCTAACTTTGTTTGATCGCATTTGGATTGTAGTAACAGATAAATCATCTGTAGGTAATCCAAACACTTCAGATTATAGGTTAGATTATAATAATCTAACAAACGGATTATTACAATTCTATAATACATCTCAAACATACTAATAGGAGACTAGGTGCTCACAAGACCAAACCCTCTAATCCATCACCTATAATCCTAATCCGGGGATCCAAACAGTCTAGATTATTGTAAAATGTAATCCATAATCAAGATTATTATAATTGCACTCACAATCCAATAATCCTACTATGATCCAAGCAGTCCTTTTTTGTGCATTTGAGAAAAGTATCTATTTACAACCTAAGTCATTATTACAACAACAAAGATTTTGATGGTACTCACGTGTTTTGGTTCAAGATTTTGTCCTGTGTAGCTGTTATTATCCAATCTTTATAACAGAAAAAATAATCAAACTAAATCAAGTAATCAGCTCCAACTCTTTGTGCTGTCAAAATTTATAGTACTGATGAACCTTGTGGTGCCACCAACAGGGCCCAGAATACTTGATGGCCCGACGGCCCGGTCCAGGATTGCAATAAGTTCTGTTCGGGTCCCCAGTGGGCTCACTTTAGCAGCCCCACACGTCAGTTTCGTCACCCTCGACGGCCGGGCGGGCATCCACACTGCTGCTCACGGTCCCGGCACCGCACCACACCACACAGCACCACCACACCACGGTCCACGGCACTTCGCCACTACTCCGCATAAAAGAAACCGAGAAAAGCGGTTGAAAAAATTATTAACCGAAAAGGATTGCCCTTCTAGAAACAAAGGCGCTTTTCACCCGCTCCCCGGACCCCGGCTCTCTCCTCCGTAATCGCTTCAAAGCCAAGCGAGAGCCGAGAGCCCAACCGAAACGACGACCCGCACCCGCGCGCCTCTTCTCGCCTGCGGTTTACACCCACCCAATGCGGCCCGCGCCCGCGCCAATGGCGAGCTCCACCACGCTCCGCTAGGTCTCCGCCCGCGGCGGTCGCCATGGCGTCGCGGCACCCGAATGCTTCTCCGGCGCCGGCGGGGAAGGACTCGCCGCAGCCTGCCTCGCCGGCAACCTCGCCGCGGCTTGCGGCGGAGTTCCCGCTCGACGCGCCCGAGGCCAAGGAGAGCGTGACCGTTACCGTCCGCTTCCGCCCGCTCAGGTTGGGTTGGCTGCCACTGCTTCGCCGCACGTGGCTGCAATTTGTTCGGGTTAATCGGCCGGGTTCGGCTTTGGGCAATGCGGATTGATTTCGTTGGTGTCTTTTTTCTTTCTTTCTGCGTGTGTTAAGCTCGCGGGAGGTTCGGCTGGGGGAAGAGATCGCTTGGTACGCGGATGGGGACACCATTGTGCGGAGCGAGCAGAATCACAGCATCGCTTACGCGTACGGTATGTGCCCGATACCTGTTCCGGGTTTTCCGGGGATGGATGGATCACACTTCTGTTATCGAAGCATTGTAGTTACTCATGGATGCTTGGTTTGAGATTTGATGGGTTCCATCGACTTTCAAGTGGAAATGCGAGTTTGTAGCATCACAAGATGCTACACTGCCAGTAGAATGAGTAATTTGTGACATTTTCTTTTCTTCTTTCTTTCTTTTTTTTTTTTGGTTGAGAACAGTGATTTATGAGTCTGACTAGTGGAGATGTGGCACGTGAATGCATTTCTTGAGGCCGAGAATTAACATCTACTAGTCAATGGTTCACCTAGCTGTAGTTTTCAACATAAATGGTCCAGGAGTGTATTCAGGTGGATCACGATATTACTGGACTTTATAATTTTAGTATGGAAGACAGTACTTAGATATCACATACAGATGAAAAAAACCAATGTTGCTTCTTTTTTTCACTTAATTTTTCTTCGTCTGAGGCTAGTATGAAATTCACATGCAGATCGAGTCTTCGGACCAACTACAACAACCCGACACGTATATGATGCTGCAGCTCTGCATGTTATTAGTGGTGCCATGGAGGGAATAAATGGTAATTGAAGTTCTGTTCTCTTATCCATGTAGTAATTTTCCTTTGAATAACAGTCTAATATGCTTATGAGAATCGATGTTATTTTCTGGGCAACTTTAGAGTAAACTACAGTTTTTTATTTGTTTGATGTTTTTTACTAAATGTTTGGGGTAGGTTGTGGAATCTGTGCACAATGTCAATCCATGTGAAAGTTCATTGATTGAAAATGCTTTTTTGACCGCAGATTGAAAATGCTTTTAGTACAGAGTTTATGAGATCATGGCACACTTGTTTTGTTATTGTTCATGAATAGTTTCCTCTTTTTTGTTGATAATTTTCACTTCACTGTCACAGGTACAATATTTGCATATGGAGTTACAAGCAGTGGGAAGACACATACAATGCATGTGGGAAAACTTATTGCAATATTTTTTTTCTTTTCTTAGTTTTACTTCTGTAAAGTGTATGTTTCTAGTCCTGTGTTTTGAAGTATGCTTCATGCTACCAATTAACATGCAAAAATGTGGCATAAAATAGATACAATTTAAACATTTTGTTTAAGTCGCTTTCTTGTAGACTTCCCATGGGTGCAATCTAATGTTTTGCCTCCATTTCACATATAGATCTGGTAAACTTTTCAGACTTTTGTTTTGTTTGTAACATCATATGTTCTCACTGCTCCTGTATGGTTTTTGGCTTGATGATCTGTGATATGTCCCTTTCCTAAAACAAGATAGCTGCTGTCTTTGCCTTGAGCATATCATTATTGACAGCATTTCTCTTTCCCAACTTTGAATTAACTGTAGTGTACATGGTTGGAAGCATTTCCTACGGTGCCGTTCGACGCTTGTATTTGGACCTATTTTCTTCTTAATACAATGACACGCAGCTCTATTGCGTGTTCGGGAAAAAAAAAGAAAACATTTCTTACTTAATATACACCTTTTATGAGCAGGGAGATCAAAGATCCCCGGGGATCATACCTTTGGCTGTGAAAGATGCATTTAGTATAATACAAGAGGTATTGTTTGACAACATCTTCATTCAAGTCTTTGGTTTTACATGATTGATGGCCTATTCGCTTGCATCTGTACCCAATTATTTTTCTTCGCAGACTCCAAACCGAGAGTTTCTTCTCCGTGTATCATACTTGGAAATCTATAATGAGGTCAGTCATCCCTAATTATGCTTACTCCTCTGGTCATACTAGTAAACTGAGGGCAAAGGAGGAGATGGGGAGGGGCTTTCACGTTTGTGCCCTTTGATTGTTTTAATGGTGCCAAGCCCAACTAAGGTTTACTTTCCAAAATAAATTGTAGCAGAACAACATTAGGTTAATGCAGTTTTTGTTTTTTCTTCTGCTCATAGCTTCAGAACCTTGGAAAAGGAAACTACTACCAAGTTGGTGAAAAGGGGTTTGTAGAAATACTTTTTTATTCATCAACATGACTTATGACTTATATGGTGTCTCAATGGTACTAGCATGGAATAGAAGCATAGCATTAGGAGTTCACTGATCCATATTGCTACTTTGCTAGTAAGTTTGCAATAACATTTTGATACTAACAAAATGCCTGCCTTGTTTACTGATGTTTTTGCTCAGAGTTAGGAGTTGCATATTATGACCTATGTACCTGAAATTCATCTCTGAATGTCGTTATGTTGTTTGAACTCACTGACTGTTATAACTACCGTTCATCAACTTATCAACTGAATTGCATATGATTCTTCTGCTTTTCTTTATATTGTATTGATTGAGAGGGTCATGTTTTATAGGTTGTCAACGATCTTCTTAATCCTTCAGGTCAGAACTTACGGATTAGGGAGGATCTTCAGGTTTGACATATTTTTATTAGTATCTGAAGTCTATACATGCAACAGTCTTAACTAGTGAGAGTCAAATCTGAATTTGAATAGAATCTCATTGATTTCATCGCAACTAGCACATAGGCTGCAAATTGATGAATATGACTATGGCATATGATGGTTTTGACTTTTGACAGTACAATGGATTGTTTATTACCAGGGAACATTTGTTGAGGGCATACAAGAAGAAGTGGTGCTGTCTCCTGCACATGCTTTGTCCCTTATTGCAGCCGGAGAAGGTTATTTTTTTTCATAATGGTTTAATTCTTTGTTTATTTCAGTATCCTGACTATCAGAGTATAAGCCTTAAGGCTTCATTTGTGGGGTTTCCACCATTGAATTCCATGGCCTCTTGGTCGCTGAGCCATAAGGATGACTATTGTAACTAACAGCACCCTTCACCAGGGAAAAATAATGTGAGAATCATTAATTATTTTATTGGATAATCCTTATATAGCAAACGCTTACCCACTCCTGTATCCCTTTATGAATTAGTTATATAACAAGCTACAGCATTCATACTTCATAGCTGATGGTACAAAATGCAGTGAGAATCAATAATGGAAAACAAAATTCCACCTAACAAATGATTTCCTGTAGCATATGCTTTGTTTCTTATTCTTGTGAATCAATATGATTGTAAACAATGCCGCTCCCCTGAATTGGTCGAAAAAAATATATGATTGTAAACAATTATAGATACAGCAGTTTTATACCTTTTATTTATGAATTCAAAACTCTCCCTGTGGTCAAGTTTTTTAATGAATTATGAAAGTTTCTTTTTCCTTTTTAATCTTGAGTGAAGATTTGCGTCTTGTCTTGGCATTCATCAATAGGAGTAAGATCTTGTGGTGCTCAAAGTTCATTGTGAACCAAAACTGCATCTAAGTTAAGTGATTACCTGTACTTATATTGATGTGCCAGCTATTTATTGAAGAGATATGCGACATTGGTTTACATTTCTCAGAATGCAATTTGATTTATATCTAATTACCCTTTTTAGTAAGTGGTACTTTGGAATTTATTGATCACTAGGTTTTTAACGTTATTTCAAGTTCACTTGACATATTTACTTAGAGTTTATTGTGTTTGTTCCACTTCCAGAACATAGACACGTTGGATCCACAAATTTCAATCTGCTAAGCAGCAGAAGCCATACAATTTTCACACTGGTAATAATGAAGCCTTTCATGTTACATTGAGATTCATGCACAGAATTCAGCATCTTATTGAATATATGGGACTAAAGTTCCTGCATGGCTGCATTTCACATTGTAAAATCTTTAACACTGCTTAGTTTACTGTTTCATGTGTAGACAATAGAGAGCAGCCCCTGCGGTGAATCTAGTGAAGAGGAAGCAGTTACCTTCTCACAGCTGGTGGGATCATCTTCGTATTTCCTTTGTTTTTGTTTCTTCTGAAGTTCTGATCCATTCCTCTGCCTTGTCACTATAAATGATTCGAGATATATTACACATGCATTTCATTTACCACTATAGTTGACTCTAGATATATGGCACATCTACATTTCATTTACACTTGGCATCATATATTGTTTCATGTGCACTTCTAGTGTGTTCAGGCGGCCTACAGATTGGTTTCTTAGTTTTCTTGCTCATTTGCAGAACCTCATCGATCTGGCAGGTTCAGAGAGTTCAAGGGCTGAAACTACGGGAGTACGCCGGAAGGAAGGATCTTATATCAATAAAAGCTTGCTAACTCTTGGAACAGTAGGCCTCATTTTTTAATCACTCTCAGATTATATGTCCCTGTAATATCACCATTAATGTAGTACGGTAGATGCTGTGTTCATGCAATCATGCTTTTGAGATTATGCGTTGCTGCCTATGTATTATTTGTGCATAGGTTAATTGTTTTCATTTTTATATTTCATATTTCAAACAAATATGAGTTAACTAAAAGTCTGGAATTGGATGGATATATGTAACTATCCAAAGTCCCGAAACACAGGTTGCATCAATATATGCAGCATTTCGTTTTCCACGACCAGAGACATTTCTATAAGTATTTCTGCTTCAATGTGATTTATTAATGTTCTCTACCCAATGGTTTATGGCCAATCTATTAAGCTGAGTTTATCTTTTTGTGTTCCTCTATTTGCAAGATGTTAGCCAACCATGTGGATAAAAGAAATTAGTTTGCATATTTCAGGTGATATCAAAACTGACTGATGGAAAAGCTACACATGTTCCATTTCGAGATTCCAAATTGACACGGTTACTACAGTCATCCTTAAGTGGACAGGGACGTGTTTCTGTAAGTTGCTTCTCAGGTTATTACTTAGAATAAGTTGTTATTATCTAATCTTTGATGTTTTGACTTCCTTTTTTGCAGCTAATATGCACTGTTCCTCCAGCATCAAGCAATTCAGAAGAGACTCATAACACGTTAAAATTTGCCCACCGTGCAAAGCACATTGAGATTCAAGTATCACAAAATAAGGTGATTCTGCATATTTGTTTATCATAATTTTTTCGCGAAAGAAGCTGAGCTAGCTCAGTGGTCGAGCGTGTGGATGTATACCCAGACCACCCAAGTTCAAGTCCTCGCTGAGGCAAATTTGGGTGCCTATTTTCTTCTTAATAAAATGCCACCTAGTTCCTCCTAGGTTGGTTTTTTTTTATATTTTTCGCAACTTATTACCTGGCAATATAAATATTAGTACATTTGACTAATTATTTGTACTTGCAAAATGCAATTGTGGTTTGCAGATTATGGATGAGAAGTCTTTGATAAAGAAGTACCAGAATGAAATTCGCCAATTGAAGGAAGAGCTAGACCAACTGAAAAGGGGTATACTTTCTGGCGCTCCTTCAAAAGATGCCACAGAAGACAATGTCATTCTTTGGAAACAGAAGGTGATTGGTTTGTAATGCATTGTTAACAAAATCTGGGTGCATTTTTCCTTTAGAATTAGTCAGCACTATTACCTAATACCTTATCTTCACTTCATTGCCTCATTGGTGGATCCTAAGATTCTAACGAGAATTCCTCATCACTTGAAAAGCTAGAAGATGGTAATGTCAAACTCCAGTCTAGACTGGAACAAGAAGAGGCAGCTAAAGCTGCTTTGCTTGCGAGGATACAACGCCTAACAAAGCTAATCCTGGTTTCCACAAAAGCAACTCAGACTCCTAGATTGTCTCAACGTCCTGGACCAAGGAGAAGACATTCTTTTGGTGAAGAGGAGGTCTGACTGTTAAGATAACACTACCAAACTTTTCAGCTACTGTCAAGTTGCATTTATATTATAATATATATTGTTTTTTCATTAGTTTTAGTGCATTAATTTCCCAATTTTATCTGCTAAAACTGCAGTTGGCATGTCTCTCCACACAGAAGGCGAGATATCGTATTGGATGGTGAAAGCAGTGATTTATTTGTTCCTATGGAAGGATTTGATGAAACAGTTGAAGCTTCTTCCAAAGGGGAGAATAAGAATCGCAAAGGGCTTCTTAACTGGTTCAAACTTCGGGTATACAAATCAGACACTGTATAATTCCCTGCATTGGCTATTCTCAGTATAGTGACAGTTAAGTAGGACATGTAGCATTTCATCTAGTAACTGATGCCCAATACTCCTATGGCTGTATATGTGACACCATCTGTTGCTTATGAAGATTTAATTTTAAGGAATATAAATTTCTGAAGTGTGTTAGATATATACAAGAACAGAAAAAGTAAGCAGATTGCATTCTTTTGTTGTGTATAGAACTTTGCTTACTAACATTTACACGCTGAACTGTAACCAGAAACATGACGGTGGTTCTAATGCTCCAAGCTTAGGTGGTGACCAATCTAGCCTGAGGAAAGCATCGACTGCCCCTTCGACACCCTTGGCGAATGGACTTAATTCTCAAACAGAGCAAGGGATGTCTTACTTTTTGCTTCCTGAGAATGTATCAGCTAACCTGCTGAGCGTTGACCATGAAGAATTTCATTCTGATGGACTTCATGGAGAAGAAGCTCCTTTGGTACACGATATGAGCACATCATTCTTTGTTTATTCTACTACACATCTAATCAGAACCAATGCAGGATACATAAATATTCTGGAAAGTTAACAATGTGATAAGTCTGTATGCTAAAAAGTTCACTGCATTAAATGTATTGAATCCACCTAAGGTATTTCTTTTTCAGAAGCTACCAGCAGTGGTACATGTAATGCCTTAAATAACCCAAATCAAAATTATCGAATCCACCTAAGGTATTTCTTTTTCAGAAGCTACCAGCAGTGGTACATGTAATGCCTTAAATAACCCAAATCAAAATTTGAGTTGTTTTGTAGGATAAATTTTCAGTAGATGGCTGTCAATATGAATCCATTGATTGATCAAGTGTTTATAAAAGGAGTTACATGACTCTTCAACTATTGAGACTCTTCATTCTAGACTATATATAGTCTAATAGTAAACACATGAGTAGATAAAAGTGCAATTTCCTTGTGCAATTTATCTGTTCATAATAAAAATAATACCATGTGCCAACAACTAAAAAGTTCTTGAAGTCTATAAACTATTCTATCGCTTGATCAACTCAAATGTCTCAGTATCTTGTTTGTTTTGAGTAATAGACAAATTGTGATGTTACCATCTGATACATGTCATTGTGACAGGTCACCAAAAAAACATCAGATCATGTTGATCTATTGAGAGAGCAACTGAAGATCCTGTCAGGGGAGGTTGCATTACATAAAAGTGTTCTAAAGTGCCTCATGGAAGAAGCTGGAAGAAGCACAATGAATGGACATATCGAGGTAATTTCCCTTTCTGCACATTCAGTATGTTATTGTAGGTTTTCTTGTTGTTGAAAACCATAAACTGTATATATTTGAAGATGGAAATGAAAAAGGTCACTGACGAGATTAAGGGCAAGCAGCAGCAGATAGCACATTTAGAAAGGCAGATTAAGAGGAAGCTTGACCAGTTAGAACACACACCGGTATATTATCTGCAGTCAATTAGTTTCCAATTACTTTGTCTCTGAATTGATACATATTAAACTGTTGCGATGATTTTCCAGTCTCACGCTAAGCTACTGGAGCAGGTCAATGAGAAAGCATTTGAACTTGAGGTACCAAAACTCTTCTCAGAGCGTGCATTTTCTTATGTATGCTTACATTGGTTTATTAGGAAAATGGATCCAGAACGAAATAATGTATTTTTCATGAATATAAACATTTGCATTTTGCATATATTGGGGACCAGTATTTTCCCTTAAAAAGATGGATAGCAGTTTAACCTTGTTCATGGTGAACCTGAAGTTGGAGGCAAAGGAATCAGAGTACCTAGAGTAGAGAACTAAAGCCCCCAAATGCTTCATGTTTAATTTTCTCATTCTTGCCTGTCCACCACACAACTAATTAGGAGTATTTAAGGTAACTTAATCTTCCCCTTAAGTGCATCATGGTTAATAAGCTCCCCTAGGATCCTTGACCCTCAAGAGGTGGCAAAGTGTTGATAGATACTTTTTTTCAGTGCTCGTGTGCCATTCTTGTTCTGCCTGTATTTACAAAGCCTCCTTTTTTTTATTGCAGGTGAAGACAGCAGATAACAGAGTATTGCAAGACCAGCTACAGCAAAAGGTAACAGTTTGATTGTAAGGTAAGTTAACCAAAAAGCAAAATCTTATGCCGTTCCACATTATCTTGTTATCAGACAAGAGAGTGTCAGGCATTACAAGAAGCAGTTGCCCACTTACACGAACAGCTTTCCCAAGCTCTCGAAGCTAATGATTTATTGTCAGAAAGCATCACATTTCAGCAGTACACAGACATCAGCCTTCAAAATGGATCGCAAGTTCACAAAGAAAATCCAGCATCTATAGATGTCTCTGATGAACTGTATCAAAAAGCCGAGCAGGTTTGCCTTTTCTCTGCACTATGGTTCAAAATCATTTTGGTCAACTGTGGTTTTTTGTTGTAGTAGCTATTATGCTAGACTTGAGGAATTTGAATTGGTCTGACATGACTACGTGAGACAGTGAGAGTATTAGTATTATAAGTTTTTACATGTAACTAGCCTAATTCGTATGTGTTGCTAATGGGAAGCTGTAGCCACTAGGCAGGTATTTGGCACATAATTGGATTTGTATTGTATCTTATGATAAGAGTTGTCTGCGATGTTGATCATATGATTCTACTCTGCTATATTATTCGGAGCTACTAAAGTGCTAAGAGCAGTGTAATCAATAATATTTATCTTGGTTAATAGTGATAAATGGTGCTTCGAGTAGGGGCATAAGAAGTGGCATTCTGCATTCACAGATGTTCTAACATTTAATGGTAATGCAGTGTCGTGAGCCTTTAATTGTGATATGCTTTATTCAAGTTTGTACCTTTGTATCTGCTCAAAAAATAAATGGTACCTTTGTTCATTTTTTTGAAACATAACTACTAGTTACTAGTTGTCGCGTCGTCTTTGCTTGTCGCACGTTTGAAGTCAGTGGCAATGGCCTTCTTCACTTCCTTGGGTGGCCTTATGTCTTTAGGATTACAAACTAATTTTATTTGGCTTATGAGTGTTATTGTTTTAAGCATTTGTGTCCTGTAATAATTTTGGTCTGATTTCTCACTTGTGGGGATAAAGCTGGATATTCTTCCATTATCTAAAAAAAGTTGTCTTGCCACTTGAAAAATTTACTAAGCACGTTTTTTTCATGATCCATTTATGTAATAATAATACCATCACCCCAGTTGACTGATTTATTCAATTATATCACTTATTGTGGTATTTTAACTGATTAGATTAACATTATCTATTCTCTCGTCAGTCAGAGATTGATGAACTGAAGCAAAGAGTGTGTGAGCTCACTGAGGCCAAAGCTCAACTAGAGGCTCACAATCAGAAGCTGCAAGAGGAAAGCATGTACGCAAAAGGCCTGGCCTCGGCTGCAGGCGTGGAACTGAAAGCACTGTCTGGGGAGGTCACCAAACTCATGGACCACAACAAGAGGCTCACGAACGAGTTGGCTTTAGCAAGAAATTCAACACAACGACGAGTGAGCAATGGTCAAAGGGTTGGTAGAAGGGATAGCTATAATAAACGGCTTGACCCAGCTAGTAGAAGAGATGTTCATGCTAGCTATGAGAGGGAACAAGCTCTGGAGGTCATGCTTATGGGGAAGGACCAAAGAGAGTTGGAGCTCCAGAAGAAAATCGAGGAGTCGAAGCAGAAGGAAGCCTTCCTGGAAGGAGAGCTTGCGAACATGTGGGTTCTTGTGGCGAAACTGAAGAAGGGTCAGGTAATTGACCAAGATGATGTCAATGCCAAACCCAGGATCGTTATTCATGACCCTAGAGAGGATCATGACAGAAACATTCATCAAATCGGCTGAGCGCGGCATCGCAGTTTCCTTGTCTGTCGTGGTTTGCACCAGTGTGAATCCGTGTATCTGTATTGGCTGTAAATAGCTGGATTGGAATCATTGTGTGTGCTGTATGCCTGTATATAACAATCAGATTTTGCCTATGTTTTCAGAATTGTCATGCCTGCCTGGTTTGTACAGGGCTTTCGACAATTATACTGTACATAGATTGTAGTGTGGAAACAAATCAAGTGTCTTGAACTTATGAAATCACACTTTGCATTTTGAAGACTGCAATTTGAACATATTGGTACAGTGGGATGAAACAGTTGGCTGATCTGATCATCTCTCCTTTTGAATCATCCTTTCCTCTTGGCTTCAGTGCTACGATAGTAATGTGATGTGACATTCAGTTTCCATACGCAAACGATCTGACTTCTGAAGATTCTAGTGACGATTGTATGGTCAGAACATAATCTCCTCCCATTGATATAGGTTAGGCCGATACGTTTTTTTTTTTTGTTGTTGAAAAATTAGTTCGATACGGAATTACGTGTGGTGGTGCTCGGTCCTGAACCCAAAAAAAAAATAACGGAAATGCTACGCTTAGAGTGTCAGACGCCCCATCCAGAATCGGACGGCTTTGTATTACAAATAAAAAAATAAAAATGCTTACACCCAGCTCAACGGTTTAACGTCGTATTCTCTTGTCCACTCATCCTCTCCAGAAGCCTCTCGTCCTCTCCAGAAGGGTCTCCACCGCAACGCCACCTCAGCATTCTTCATGCCGTCCGGGCGTCAGCCGCCGACCAGCATCTTCACCGCACCCAAGCGCAGCTGCCCGCCTTTCTCCCTCTCCATTGCGCCTCCTGCCCACCATGCCCCCCCCTCCCCTCCCCACGCACGGTCCGTCTTCTCCACCGGAGCGACCTGCCGCGGCCTTCTCCACAGGAACGACGAGCTCCGCGCCACCGGCGAGCCCTACACCGGTGAACTCCACACACCGATGAGTTTACGTTACCAAGCAGCAAGGAGATGTTGCACTGAAAAACATGTTGCAAATATCGGTGTTGCAAAGTAGATTAGGATGTTTCAAAAGTAGATCGGGATGTTGCACATGTTGCAATGGCCATATATATATGTTTCTAGTGTATGATCCAAATGTTTCGTCTGTATCAGAGGTATGTTGCAAAAGTAGATCTGGATGTTGCATATACATGCATGTTGCAAGCATATTTTTCAAGTGGTTTTCAGGTGTGTTTGCAAGTGTTTTATCTGGATGTTGCATATGTTTGCAATGGTTTTTAAGTGTTTTTAGGTGTTTTTTCAAGTGTTTCAGACGTATATTTTAAGTGTTTCATCTGTCTTCTTTGTATGTAGCAACTGTTGCATCTAGATATTTCAAAAATAGATCGACGGTTGCACATGGAATGCGCGTGGGAAGCAGCTGGCAGCGCAGGCGACGCACGAGGCGGTGTGGGCCCGCTGCTAGGGCCCTCGCCCACAAGCCCAACACGTCGGGGTGCTCGCTCGCTCACTAAGTGGGTACCGTCCGACGCTACCGCCCTGGATCCGACTCCGGACGCTAGCAAGTCCGTAAGGGAAATCCCTTACATATGAAGTGGAAAATCCTTTGTGTCGGCAAAATGGCTTTTTGAGGACTAGGCACCAAGGGAGCCCTTTGAGATGTAAAATCGAGATTTTAAGGTGAGTGCATGCTGCTTACCATACGAAGCGAGGATGCAAATCTTTCGATGCGTTTTTCTACAGCCTGTTTGCTTAGTCGTAAACGATCGTAAATTTCCAGCCAGAACAGTATTTTTCTCTCACATCAAACCCGCCAACAGTAAATAATCAATAATCCTTTACGGCCTCCCAAACAGGCTGCTAATGTGTAGCTTTGCTCTACTATGATAACCTCAAAAGTACATATCATTTTTTACAACCCAGGTTGAAACGTGCTGTTTGGATGTCCAGTGAACCTACTATTTTTACAGATGAATTGCACCAAAACGGTTGTAAAATAAAAAACGCCTCCTCTGGCCTGGAAAATAAAACGACAACTATCGGGCCCTCCGCTCTCGAGTCTCGACTCGTCCCTTCTCCCTCAGCTTGCTCTCACCGGTGGCGGCGGAGTCGAGAGTTCCCTGGTGGCAGCCGAGCCGAGGGTCCCCTGGTAGCGGCGGAGTCGTGGGATCCCTGGTGGTGGCGGAGCCGAGGGTCCCCTGGTAGCGGCGGCGATAGGTGAGCTCATGACCTGCCGGCTAGCAAATCAACTGCAGAGCGGAGCGGACATCCTGGCGACCATGGAGCTAGGCTGCGGTGGCCGACGCCGTGGACGTGCTCTCCCGTCTCCGCCGGCGACTATCTCAAGGACGCCATTGCCGGGGGACGCGCGCCATCGCCGTGGGCACGTACGCCGGTGGTGAACATTCTGTCGGACGGGAAGGAGGCCGGCGACGCCGGTCGCCATGGGGCCGGATTATATTTGTCGACCCCGGCAGGGCGCTTGGCCCCAGAGATGCGATTCGGCAGCGCCGGCGAGAAGCAGAGCGCTTCACATCTGGCCGCATGACGGCAGGCATGACCGGGTAAACTGATGCAGAGAGAAATCCATGGCAGCCTAGCTGTGGTCATCTTATTTTAATTCATCCAGGTGCAGGCAATCCAGATACAAGCACATCACGGATGTAAGCGCCACGCAGAAGATGGAATCCTGCAAGCGGAAGCTTTTAATCCAAACAACATTTTGCAAGTGTAAAAAAAAAAAACAGTTGTATCCTTGTGCACAACAAATTACGGAGGGAAACGATTTACACCTGAAAAACAATATGATGCTGCAAAACAGGACCTCAGGGAAACTATTATTACCAAGTCTATCGGGGTTTGACCTAAATATCCTGTTATCTTTAGAACTTGCTACCCTGGTTACCAAACAATGCGGCAAAGCAACATCACCGAAATAGATCATTTCAGATTCAATAGCATTATGGGTAGCAATGAGTCGTGTATCAACCATCGTCCAGTTCGCTTGGCTTATAAGCTGTATTTTTTCAGCCAACGAACAGTATTTTTCTCTCACAACAAATCAGTCAAGAGTACTTTCAGCCATGACTTATCAGCCAAGTGAACATGGCAATACCAGAGCGTAATTTTGACTTAATTATAGAAAGCGGCAGTTTTTGAAAGGGAGTCAAAATTCAACAAGGAGATTATGCAGTTCCATTTGAAGCTTGTGCAAGAACATGACTTGCACTAGCTGGAAATACCCTATTTTCCCCATAATGATCTGACCTGAAATTTGATGCACTCAAAATTAGAAAAAAAAATTGATCACAGACTGAAGAAATTGCATATAATAAAAGAGCATATCAAAAGTTGGTAAGACCACTCCTTTTTCAATATTAGGAAACCGATATGTTTTTCAGATCACTAATAGGTTTGCTACATTATGATAACTACAAAGGTAAATATCAGGAAAAAAACTACTGATGCTAAGCCTAGAAGTAGATGTGCTGCATGGTAAAATTAGGGCACCAAAAAGAAGGCCACCATTTTCTAAAATTGGATCCACAACATACAGGACAGGTTGATGTCACATGAGGATGCCATCGAGGCAAGAAAATTTGGAGTTAGGGATCATAGAAAATGAGCTTAGGTCATTGAATCCTGGATGAAATGTAAATGAAAAGGATCAATTGGAACCAACCAATCTGACAGGATGAGAAAGAAACAAGCAAGGAGAGGACATGGTACCTTAGTTTCTGGCTGGCAGAGAAACTTATAAAAGATAAAAATCTAGTGCAGGTGGTCACCAGTGTCTTGCATTTCTGTTGCAGGCTGCTTCCTTTTGAAGGATGGAACTTTTTCTCTCCTAGCATAGGAAAAATTAAATTAATTTTAAATGCATGTTCCAATCTTTACTTGTACAAAGATGACGCAAGCAGAACACCTGGGAAATTTGAACCCCTGTAACAAAATATTTTGTACTGCCTCTCACTAAGTGGATCAATTTTTCATATCGTACTTAAAAAACAAGAAGGAACAATAGTCCAGGTAACATGCATTCTCATCACTCTAGGTACATAGGCAACCATTCATCCTTTTGTTCTGAGAAGCAACAACCGCATGGTGAGATGGGATTAAGTAGTAGGTCCTAAACTGAACGTTGATGAGCTTGCATCTCTCTGTACCATGACTGGATACAGAGTCACAGATAATTTGTACATCACGGGTAATGTAATCACAAACCATGACAACAACGCAAAACATAGGAATCATAACAATGTGCTGACATAGTTGTTTTGGCGTTCATCTTGGTAGGTTTATAGAGTCCTTCCTTCAAATGAGGGATTCATTAAGGAAAGTTGGCATCTTGCAGGCTTGTGTCAAGTGCATGCCATATTGCCATGGGTGGATATGCCGCTTTAGTTAGAGCATCTCCAAGATTACACAAAACAATCTCTCAATCCAGAAATTTTGGCAAGATTGAAAAAAAAAACTCATCTCCAACAACTTCTAAACCCACCTCTCAATCTTTTGGTACTTGAAAAAACCACCCCCACGCGCTTAAAGTTACGTGCGCTTATCTTGGTGCCAATCTGGAGGTGAAAGGACGCGGGGAAGAAAAAAAAGTAGGACAGGATTTCTGATACAAATGTATAAGAGAGAAATAAAGTATAAAAGTAATTAGTGTGATTTAGAAATAGTTTATGATTCCTAATGTAAAATTATCTTCTATCTTTTAGGCGTAAGTTTTTGCAAACCGTTGAAGTAGTAGCTTTTTTATGTCTTCCAATATATTTTGCAAAGGTTAGAAAACCTGTTTTTGACAGTATTTTTTAAAATACCGTTGGAGATGCTCTTAGGGGATCGCAAATCTAGGGACCTTCATCACTCCATGGAGCTTTCTTTGGGAATAATTGATCCGAGCATATATAAGCACTTTTGGCGCATCATTAGTTCGCTATATCCACATGCTTTTGAGCTGACTATCGATTTCTTTTGCCATCTAACTATCATCAGGCGCC